AAAACCCTCCAGACCCATTCTCTTACACTGATCGGAGAAAGTAGTAAGCAAGCGCTGCTGCACAAAAAGGATTACAGTTTGCCCTAAAAGAACTACTTGAGTACAGCTAGAAATCCACGGTAGAGTTGTTTCAGCAATTCACAGCAATGTAGTAAGTCAAATATTTGTATGGTCTAGACAAGCTGAAAGCTTTTATTGAGATCGTAGTATTTACATAGTCGTTTGTAGAGATCAGCACTATAGAATGTTGCACACTTTCTTCTGACGAGGCTCCATTCGGCGACAACACAGCATCATCTTCAGCCCTTTACATCTAAACGACGATTATTGGTAGGAATTAAGGCAACATTCGGACAGAAGCACCAACCTGCCATAGATGAAGGGGTTAATTACGCTATTCAACACAACTAAGAAGGCAAGAGGAAAGGTAGCATCTTGATGATCGCGATATGAATCAAATGAGATCACCATCCACCTGAAGATAGAAATTCGAGCTTTTTGCGAGCGTGCAGAAAAGGAATCGTGGGCTTACCAAGAGAGTAGATTGTTTGGCAACCAGGTAATAACATAGACAAGAATAAGGAGAAGCGTTATCCGTAATGACCGCACCTTGGCACGACTGAGTTTGTCTTGGCCCCGCAAGGTCCTCGTTGTCAGTGATACTGAAAACCACAGATCAGTGTTTATTAACGGTAGAAAGATAAAACTATCAGAGTCCACCAACCCCCTTTGGCATGCGCCACGCATTCAACGTCCGTTCAGAATCATCGTGACTTTTGGAATGCGAACCGACTTTTTTCTGCGGGTAAGCAAAGCGCAGTTTTTATCCCGTAGTGTAGGTTATTTAATTTTATTTAACAGTTTCACTGTTCGAATGTGAAAACCGAAAAAGTTTTTTCGCGAAAGGCTCTGAAAATCTCAAGAAGCGCATATTTTTTCTTCCTCCGGGTATTTAGTGTTTTGCTCCTCCCTCAGCGCTAATTTTCGAAAGTTTTGTAACGAAGGTTTTGATACCTCTTCATGTATATTTGTCGAGCAGCGAAACTTCAGGAATTTATGCAAAGAAAGGAAAGTACGTAAAGGCGATTATCGATTTCCCCGTTTTTACCACTTAAATTTAAACGACACAGAGCGTGGAAAATCGTCCGTCGGGAGCGTCGTCCGCCCGCCACGCCCAACGAATATGGTATATTACGACTGTCTTGGCACATACACCTTGCCCCCAAACAACACTCATCCTCCAAGCGTTTTTATACCTTGGTAGAGTCATTATACTGAGGAATGAATTCGCTCTATTTGGATTTTATTGAGAGTCACGGAAGTCCCTCAACTGGAAGTTCCTCACACAATTCCTTTCCCACGAAACAAGGTTGTGGGATTCTGTAAAAGCGGGGTAAGTACAGAAATTAGTTCTGACAGATTTTCAATAACCTTTCGCACTCGGGTTTTTTCTCCTAGGAACTTTCTTTTTACTTCTTTCTGTTCTCAAAGGTCTATTACATCCCATCGACATTATATATTATAATTCGCTTTGTCATTTATGTAATGTTTGTTTGTTTGTGAGTTTAAATAGTAAGTTGTACGAGTTTGTAATTTGTCTGTCCGGAAATTCGGTTTGACCTGAAGATACGACATGGCAGAGGATTCAGTTTTTTCATATTTTCAATTTCCCTATCATGGGGATAAGGTAGGGATGGGACACCCATAAAAAGCATCACGTTGACTCTATGGTAAGCTCCGTCGCCCACAGCGGGCAGGCGCACACTCGCCAAAAGTTTGGGTTCCACGGAAAATGTTCATAATCTCGCTCGCGGAGCACAGACGAACTGTGTCAGGTACCTTATGGGCGGGGCGTACTCACAGTGAAGCGGTGCTTGCTCGCAAAATTCAGTCCACTTAACCCGTTCGCGAGAGTGGGAAGTCGCAAAAAACTTCAGTGCTAACATGTAAACACCTGCCGAAATTATGGGGCATCGCTCAAGTGTGTATAACCGCCACAGTGGGCCGGAGCTTTGCCCATAAAATCGCAGGGTATTCGTTTTTGCAAAGAAAGTGATAGTGATTGAGTTTCAGCAGAGAGCCGGTTAAACTTGGGGCAAAAAAAATTGTGGACGGAGGCCTGCTTCGAGTGGGCGGAGGCCAGACCAAAAAGGGCTCTGTGAAAATCAGTTCTAGAACACTCCGGACACCGAAAAAAAAACAGTGGATTAAGGTCTGTAGAGGTCGCCCGGTGCAGTAGTGTTGGCACTAAACAGTTGTGGGCGGGACTCGCTCGAGGTGGGCGGAGTCAGACGAAAAATCTGTAAAATAGCTCAAGAGTACTTCAGACACCGGAAAAAGTGGAGTACAGAACAAAAGGCGGATATCAGTTGAGTTTAGAAATATGTGAAAGAAAATACGCGCGGCGAAGCCGCGCCCGCCCGGCGCCGGGCCGTATCAAAAGGAGCCGCGCCGGCGTCAGCCGGCGAGGCCACTGGTTGTATATAACGTAAAAGTCTATTTCTAGGCATTTAAAACTCCCTACGGAATTGTTTTGCACTATGAAAGTTGAAGGGTAAACCGACACCGCTATCTCATTTCCCTTATAAAGTCGCGCTTGAAGGCGCTTCTGGCTTACCTGCACTTTCAAGGTCCTTTTTGGAAGGTTTCTTTGTTAAAGAGGATTGCTTGCTTAGATCCGAAATGAACCACGCAGAAGACATCTCCGGCTCGGAAGAGTTCAGCGTTTTGTAGATATCCTGAAGATAAGGTTACAGATGGCAGCGCTTATTTATTGGTGTCAAGCTACTATTCAGCTTCCAGTACCAAGTTGCAGCCTAGGCTAACATTACTGAAAACTTCAGTAATGCAGTCTACCCCCTCCGACACTTTGTCTCCTAATATTTTGGTTCTCGGTTCGCTCAGCTTGTTGTTGACTAATAAAAGCTCCAAATTAGTACTCTTTTATAGCCATTTAATGGGATTTCTCCGGTACCCTGACCATGAATATGGCATTCATTTTGGCCCAGGCGTTAGAAAAGATGTCATGTTTTTGGTCAAGACCCTTGATTACTCCTATAAAAGCAAGTTTACAGTACTTTTGGTGAATACGGTGGCAGCGCGAGGTTGGTACATTATGGAGCTGTTGCTATAATCGTAATCTTTATAATATTTAGGTAATGCTGCTAGGGTTTTCTCCTGCCGTAGGCGCCCCTGATGATCTTTCAGGTTAGACTAGAAGGTGTTGATGAAGATTCACGCCTCCAAAAACCTTTTTTCAGGAGCTCAAGTCGGTCAGAAGGGCAGGGGAAGGCATATTCTGTACACTCAACAAAGCACGAGGTTCATTCCAAAACAACCACGAAATAGCTTTGCGAAGCTCGTAGCATTACAGGAGTTCTATGTCCATGAGCTAGGAGCTTACAGCCCCAGACCTTCAAAAAAAGACATTATTAGCGCTTAAAGTCACCGTAAAGTAGCCCTACACTTTGACAGAGGATTCTTTATTTCCTCCCTATCTCTTGATTTCTAAGACTGCCACAGGTGTGAAGTTGAAGTTGTTTGCTGACATCAGCAATTAATAATGAACGCTTTGTGAAAGACAATTACTTACTTTCAGAATGAGCACGTAGCAGACAACCAGAATCACCAATGGAATGTAGAATGTGATGCAAGCGTTTTGGATGCCGTAAAGTTTCATCAGAGAAAAGTCCTCATTTGTCATTTGACTTCTGTTCGGACCGAGGTTGATTTTCTCCGCCCATATTGTCAGACACTTGGCGGAAGTTGCCAAAATCCACCTGGAGCAAAGCTGCATTATAATGTTCTTTCCAGCTTCGTAGGTAATAGGGTAAAGGCTAGATTAGCAACTGAATAATTTTTCAGCGTCCACTTGGTTCTGTTCTGTAATATTAGGTTGTCCGGAAAGTTCTGCACGTTTTGTGTTACTATTTTTTGAACATTCATTGCTGATTAAAAACTCACTCTCCCTTGCGTCTCAGTAGTACATATTGCAAAGCATTCTTTGCCCCATCTGATGGTATAATTGCCGTTTCACCATTGCTTGATG